AAATGAAAGCTCCCAAACAAAGAACATCGCCGGATTAAGATGTGGAAAGACATGTTACACCACAAAGGCCATAAATCCTGGGAGATTTGAAAATGAGCAACAACCAAGGAACAGTAGTCATTTTTTTACTTATGAATTAATTACTTTATTGTCATTGTACAGGTACAACGAAATTGAATGCAATCCTTTGGGTGCATAGGGATTATTGAATTAATCAATAATCTAATAAATAGTACACAGATGACAGGATCTATTACACAACATTACATACAAAAGACGTCTCACATTCAGTTCAACAGTACACAAAATGTTCAGTTAAGTTATTGCAGTATTCAAAACCAGATAGTTTAAGCATGTGAACTGTTTTATCTCACATTCAACAGAGCTGCACGACTCATTCAATGTTGCACATAATGATCAGTTAAGTTATTGCAGTATTTAAAACAGATATGGCTTGGCATGTAAACTATTAATCTTACAATCAACAGAGATGGACACTTCATGTCTTCAACACACATGATGGTTAATTAAAATTTTTTGCAGTATTTAAAAAAGAAATAGCTTTAGCATAAAAACTATTCCTTAATCTGTTTGTTCGGGTTTTTAGAACCCTGTACCGTCTGCCCGAAGGTAGCAATTAAAAAAGAGAATGTCCTGGGTGAGATGAATCCTTGAGAATTTTTTGAGCTTTCAAGAGGCAGCGGGAACTGTGTAACTCTTCCATAGAGGGGAGGGGACAACCGATTACCTTCTGGGCTGTGGTGATGATCCTCTGGAGAGCCTTCCTTTCAGCAGCAGTGCAGCTAGAACACCACACACAAATGCAGTATGTCAGAATGCTTTCCACAGAGCAACGGTAAAAGGACACCAACAGGTTTTGTGTGAGCTGGTAATTCCTGAGTATTCTCAGGAAATGTAGTCTCTGCTGTGCCTTCTTGATGACAGTAATGGTGTTGACACTCCAGATCAGATTGTCCTCTATGTGAATGCCCAGAAACCGGAAATCCAAGACCCTCTCCACACAATCGCCACTGATGAAAAGAGGCTGAACGTCTGTTTTCTTCCTTTTGAAGTCTATTATCAGCTCCTTGGTCTTGGTGGTGTTCAAGATCAAGTTGTTTTTTGTACACCACACAGACAACTGCTCCACCTCATCCCGGTAGGCGGACTCGTCCCACCCAGAGATGAGCCCCACCACGGTGGTATCATCAGCAAACTTAATTATAGTGTTACTGGCATGGACAGGGGTGCAATCATGTGTGTAGAGGGTGTACAGTAGAGGGCTCAGCACACAGCCCTGAGGAGTGCCGGTGCTGAGGCTGAGAGCTGAGGAAGTGCGAGAGGCTACTCTTACCCTCTGTGAGCGATCAGTAAGGAAGTCTTTGATCCAAAGACAAACGGAGTGAGATATTCCCAGATCTGACAGTTTTGACACTAGCATGTTGGGGAGGATGGTGTTAAACGCTGAGCTAAAGTCTACAAATAACAGCCGAGCATAGTTCCCCTGCAGCTCCAGATGGCTTAAAAATGATCCATGGTAATAGTTGTAACTTGTAAATCATTAGATAATTAAATTAAAGTACAAAATGTGTTTAAGTTCAAAACTTTCAAGTTTTTCAAAACACTTTAAGTTTTGGTAACACTTTACAATAAGGTACCATTAGTTAACATCAGCAAATGTTGGAATTAACTTTAACTAACGATGAGCAATACATTTGTTACAATCAATATGTATTAATCTTTGTTACTATTAGTAAATGTTGAAATTAACATTAACTAAGGTTAATATAGGCTATGCTTTAGAAGTATTTGCCATTGTTCATGTTAGATAGGTAACAAATGTTAACAAATGAAACCTTATTGTAAAGAGTTACCTGAGTGTTTAATGGTTATACATATTAAATGTTACAATCCAAGTATGAGTAAATGCAAGGGCAATTTTGCAACATGTGATGTTTTATATACACGTTTTGTATAACAACTTCTGTTTTTTTCCTCTGCTGTATTGCATAGTTTTGTAAATTGTGTAAATAAATTTACTTACAGCGAACTAGATCAAGTGAGTTCTTTATAAAATTGCATTCATCATAATGAGACGTTTATAGATTTAAGTCGTGTTATTTTTTATTTATGTATTATTTGATGTCATTTATGTATTATAATCTATATAATTAAAATTAAACATTTTGGCTGCGTATCAATTTTTAAACGAATGATTAGTGAACACTATTAAAAATGAAACCGGGCCACGTCTGGCACGCTGTGCACATTGGCGACGGGACGATTCCGGCTTGGATGCGCTAGTGTCGGCAAGTTAACGGCTGCCGCATCTGGCCCGATTGATTCGGGCCGGAATCAGGCAGAGTACACAGGCATCCGGCTCGAGTGCGGCAGATGGAGCCGGAACTGGCCCGAGTGTATTTTAATATCTGGGACCGATCTTATGGCACAACCAGTGGCGCAATTCCATGTCCCCCCACTTTTTGAAAATTTCCCCCTTCAAATTAATGCTTTATTTTTGACTCGTCACGAAAGTTTATCATATGCATGCGTTTTTAAGTTTTGCCAATTTAAGCATTCAAAAGATTTTAAACCGTCCAAGCGCAATAAATTGCGAAAGAGAACTAAATTCGGTACTTGAGCGCTGTTTTGTGTGTGCACACACCCAAAGCACGCACACAGGGAGCCGCGTCTCTGACAGCGCACCATTACAGAACTGAGATCACTTTTCTTTTCGTGCTTAAACGGCCAAATACACATAAAATTAAGTCAAACTGACCATTTTGGCGAGTGTCCTCATAAGCACAGTCTTAACGAAGTAAAAAAAATAAAAGTTTTAAATGAACGTAAACTGAGAAAATCTGATGTGTCAGAACCGTGCATTTGGTCTGAAAGTGAAAGCAGCTTGCTCTCTGTGAAAAAGAAAGATCACTCTGATCAAATTTGCTCTTGACTGAATAACTTCATCTTTAATTAGGATTAATTTATAAATATGTAGTAAAACTTGAGATAAATTCTGCTGGTTATAGCACTTGCATATCTTTGCTCTCTTGTTGAGTTTGATTGCTTCTATTGTCCTCATTTGTAAGTAGCTTTGGATAAAAGCGTCTGCTAAATTACTAAATGTAAATTTAATTTTTGATTTTGATCCTTCTCTTAAAATGGGTTAAAAACTGAAATGTAAGGTTTATTTTATGTATTATTTATTTTTATTATTTTTATTTTTTTGTCAAATCTAGTAAGTCACCAAACCAAGATTTTTTGATTGTTTAAAATCAGGCCACCGTTTTTAATATTAATATTTTAATGTTTATGCAAACAAAAAGTGCATAGTGCTGCTAATTTTATTTATTGTTCGATGGTTGGTTTTCAACATTAAACAGTAACTTTATTCGTTTTCCTTAAATAATGTTAACGATAATAATTTTCTGAAAATATTATGTTCTCTGTGTTATCTGAATTTTGATAATCCATTGCATATTAAAATGGTACTAAAACGGACTATTTCCCTACACTCAGTTTTGGACCCCCACCAACTGTCAGACCATAATTGCGCCCCTGGGCACAAGTAGCCTAAAATAAAACACTCTTTGAACCTAAATTCAAGGACACAGGTGTTTTCCACAGACTCGGCCACTAAAACCGAATAAAATATATTCAAATACACTCAGTTTCTACAAAAACGAACAGGCTACGTGTATGCCTACATTTTAATGTACACGTTGATAGGTGTTCGCTGGTACTGTCAAACTGTTCTCGTAACTAATTTACGACTATCCGACTCATAAATAATCCTATGGCGAAGGATTTTTATGATAATAATTAGGTCACGTTGTTGTTGCTTTGCATTCCCACTGAGGCTTGGCTTAGCTTATCAATATTAATTAGGCCATGCTGCTTTTGCTTTGTATCTTTCCTCAAATTAAAAAATTGTTACGTTGTCTATGCTTACTACTAGGCGAAAATTACGTAACCTATTTAATATTCAAAAATGTAAGCATTGACCATAGTAGGATTCATAATTTCGCTTCTCATGGCTCTGCATGTCAATATAAACAATTATGATTGTCTTTATCCTAATCCTAAAATTTTTTATCACATAAATAAATAAAAACTTAAATACTGTTATTTGTCAACACAACCACGTGAAGATTTTGTTGTACCTCGTCACTCCTACTTACACAGCACATCTATACACAAATTAACTCACCACTTTTGGGTTTCTCCTGCATATAGGCTATGTGTGTTTTATTTTGAATACCTTATGGTTCTTTGAAAGTTTGTTTTGTCACTCTTTATTCGTCCATGTTGCTGCGTCGTCGCATGA